TGTTTATATAGCCAGCCATGGTTCTAAAACCGGCTGCCGCAATCAAGCACCTGCTGGCTGCTTGACTTGGCCCTAAAGTGGCAGGCACCAACAGTGTCCTGCCACACTGTCCCTGATTCGATTTGGCTGAACCTGAAGATTTGATGCTGATTCAGAGAATCAGCGATTCGGCCATAGACACAGCTTTAAAAGTTTTTTCTACATACCTTGAGGTAGCAGCATGGCTCATGATCGCTGCAATGCTGGGATGCATGGAGCATCCCACAGGAGTGCGGGGGAGCCCTCTATGTGCTTAGAGGCAAACCCGGAAGTGGACCGGAAGTACTTCTGGTCCACTTCTGGGTTTGCCATGGAGCGCACTGGGGGGGCCCCCTGCACCTCCCCAGCTCAGCAATCGGCCATGGGGAGACCCCCCGACCCAGAAGGCACCAGTTACTGAGCTGGGAGGGTGCGAGGGGGCCCCCCAGTGTGCTCCCCAGAGGACCTGAAAGTGGACTGGAAGGGCTTCTGGTCCACTTTTGGGTCTGTTGCTGAGCATGCTGGGGAGCCCCCTGTGCTTCTGTGGGACACTCCATACATCCCAGCATCACAGCACTCACAAGCCCCTTCTACGTAGTGGTATGTAGAAAAAATATTTAAAGCTGTGTCTATGTCCAAATTTCTAACTCTTTCCAAATCTCTCTGAATTGTTTCAGAGGGTTCTGATTTGATTCAATTCAGAGAGATGAAAGGGTCCTCTGATTTGATTTGATTTGGATTTGGAGATTTGGCCACTGAATCGGGCTGAATCTCCACCGAATCGAATCAGAGACTGAAGCTTTGCACAGCCCTAGTATTAACCCACCCCTGCCACAATTTTAGCTTGTTTCCGACACCCACCTTCACTTTCCTCAGCCCTTCAAACCTCTCCATGCTTACTGTTGTCAGCAACTTCTTTCTGCAATGCACATCATGAGCCATTATGAGTTATTTGTATGAACAACATGTTCCAGGCTTCAACTGTATTCTTTCCTTGAGAGTCCTGATATATTTAGCAGCAGGATGGTTTAAGGAGGGATATTTTTAATTCAAAGAGTGAGGTTCCCTTTGTTTAACATCACAGCAATACAAACTGGGGTTGTCTGTAGAATCTATGCTAGGGACTGAATGGTTTCATGAGCAAGCCAACATATTGACTCTGCCCTTCCTCCCTGCTTCTGCC